ATTTCTAGAACATCTAATAGACTTATATTATCTCAATCACATTATATTGAGAAAATACTTGAGAAGTTTGATAAAAATGAAAGTAGTATTGGTAGAACACCAGTGGATATAAATCTTCATTTGTCTAAAAATGCTGGTCAAAGCAGATCACAATTGGAATACTCTCGCATCATTGGTAGTCTAATGTATGTCATGAACTGCACTAGACTAGATATAGCATACTCAGTTAATAAATTGAGTAGATATAAAAGTAATCCAGGAGTAGACCATTGGAAGGCAATTATTAGGATTCTTAGATACTTAAGATATACCCTGAATTTTGGGCTGCACTATACAAGATATTCGCCTGTACTTGAAGGGTATAGTGATGCAAATTGGATATCTGATATGAATGATACAAAATTCACAAGTGGTTATGTTTTTACACTTGGTGGTGCAGTTGTATTTTGAAAATCCTCTAAGCAAACGTGTATTGTCAGATCCACAATGGAATATGAATTTATTGCTTTAGATAAAGCAGAAGAGGAAGTTGAGTGGTTTTGCCAATTTCTAGAGGATATTCCAACATGACCTAAACTTGTGTCAGCAATTTGTATACATTGCGATAGCCAATTTGCAATTGGTAGGGCACAGAATGACATGTATAATGGTAAGTCTAGACATATACGTCATATACATAATACCGTTAGACAATTGCTCTCAAATGAGATGATTTTCATTGATTATATAAAGTCAAAGGATAATCTAGCGGATCTGCTTACTAAAGGTTTGACTAGAGAGCAAGTAAATTGTACATCGAGGGGAATGAGATTAAAGCCTATGACACAAGAATCACCTTAATGGCAACCCAACCTAGTTGACTGGAGATCCCAAGATTTAGGTTCAAAGGGACAACCGAATTATGCGTGATTCAAAAGAAGCACTAAGGAGATAATCTCTCCTACCTATTCCTATGATAAATTAGTGCTGCCTACAGAAATAATTACGGTAAGCTATGCTTTTAATGACTCTCATACCTTGAAAAATTCAAGTGGGATATTGCAAGATATTCCTAATGGGAGTCACCTATATGGATGTGAAGGGGCCGCTTCTGTGAGAATTTGTAAAGGCTAAATTCTCTAAAACACTCATGAAAATCAGGAGTTGTTCAGGGCCAAAATGAACACAATCATGAGAACCAATTGTGTTAGGAAAAAAACTGTGTGAAGTCTATTCGATCTGATTTATTAAACAGCTGAATAGTTCAAGACATCACGTTCACTATGTAGCCGGTAAGTCCGATGAACTTTTACTAGGGAAGGTTCAAGGCCAAAAGCTACCTATATCGATGTATGATCTTTCCAAAGATGTACTCTCTATAGTGTGTCAGTATTATCATTTGCATACTAACAACCAAATTTTCATTCATGTGGGGGATTGTTAGACCAAAAACAGTTTTTTAGTGTAAACAAACAGAGTTTTTGGTCAACTTTGAACCTAAATTAAAGTGGGACTCATTAGTTATTTTGAATAAAATTTCGTAGGTTCATAGTCTACTCCGTGAGGAGTATAACGTGGAATATTCACTTGCTCAAATCGAGTTAGAAATAAATGAGAAAATAGACTCCAAAGTGACCCTCTTAAAGAGTGAAAATAAAGGATGTGCAATGTGGAATTTGACACCAATCCTACATTGGTTGAGTAAGGAATTCAAAATGGATATATATAACTCAGGTTTGCTCTATGGGTTGGGCCTCAAAGGGTACTACAATTTTATGAGCGGAGCGAACACCTACATGCCGTTGGGTCTTACCACACGCGCGCGCGCGTTGCCCCGCCGGGCTCGGGTGTGGGTGTGGGTGTGGCCAAGCCCTATCTTTTTGGAGAAAATTTATTTAATTAATTGAGCATGAATTTTTTAACCTGAAATTAATTTTGGTATTCATTGGATAATTCGGATTTGCTCCAGTCTAAACCCGTTGGATAGTTCGGATTTGCTTCGGTCCAAAATTTTCAAGATGTGACTGTTCATGAAAAACAGTTATTCAAGGTGTCCGCTGGTTGGGTCGGTTTTTGTTTATGGGTTGTGTCCTTTAGTGAGGTGTCTGTCCGGACAGTCACCAGACTATCTATAAATATCCAGTGCATGCATTCATTTTATTCATTCAATTTATCAGTCCATTAAGGCATTTAAGACAGTACGTTTAGAGAGTACACGACACAAGTTTTGGTTCGCTGTACGAACAGATTGAAGTACTACTTTTGTTCGTGGAAGATCATTTTATCTTGGGAGGCAGGCGCTCAGATTCCATAAGCATCGTGTGTGGGGGCGAAATCTGTCTTAAGAATATAGTGTCAAACACTACCCTTGATCTACAACGAGTTCAATAACAGTTCCTATTTTACAACCGGGTTAGTTTTTACATTAATTTGGCATATAGTTACGTGTATCTGTTTGTTGTAACTCTTTCGTGTTTCATAAGCCTATTGTAATTTTTTTGGTTCTGTTTAACTGTTTACGGTAACTGTTTTGATTTGTGTTACGGTTCTACAGTTCACAATTACTGTTTGTTTTATTTTAAGTTACATGATATCAGAAATATCAATAAGTGATTTTACAATTTTGGAACACCACAAATAAAAAGTATTACATGCCTATAAATTTCAAAAGGTTTTAGTGTAATTTACTAACGGATACACTAACGGATATTGACCATAGAGGTATAAGTGTTATGTGTGTACAAATTTTAGGGGGTTTCAAACAATTGCATCGGGTCTTTTTGTTTTCATGGAAGAATTGGATACTAAGTTTATGATAATTATTTAGGTTTCTCAATATATTATGCTAGTTTTCGAGGAAAATGATTTGGGAGTTGAAAGAAATTTTGTATTAAAGCTTTGGATCATCAGCTTCAGGTCCTATCCGTTGAAATTTGATTTTAGGGGAAAGTCAGTGGTACTGAAACAAGATAAAAAAAAATTGGTATCATATCAAAAGTTACGGTTATATTTTTAATTCGCTTGAATAATCATAATTTTTTTTTTACAAGTTATTATACTTAGAAAAAAAATACTTCAATCAAAAATAAAATATTAAATATTTTAAATTTTACAACAAAAATTTATATTCTATTATGACATTTATTGAAATAAAATTACAAAAAAAAACTATTTTTTTCTTAAAAAATTATAATTAATATATAATTATACTATCTATTAAAATTTAATTTAATCGTATAAACAATCAAATTATCCCAATTAAAATTATAAGATAATATGTCAATTAGAATATGAATTTTAGTTGTAAAATTCATATTTTATTATGAATGACTTGGATCCATTATTTGATTTTTTAGTTTTAATATAATTGTATACTAATTATGATTTTTTAAGAAAAAAATAATTTTTTATTTTTGATTTTATTTCAATAAATTGTACAATATAACGTGAATTTTGATTATAAAATTTAAAATATTTGATATTTTTGATTGAAATTTTTTTGTTCTAAATATATCATATTAAATTTGAAGGGTTTAAGTATTATACGCTTATAAATTTTAAGAAATCTGAATGTAATTTATTAATAAATATACTAACGGACATCGATGACTAGGATCTAAGTATTACACACATACAAACCTTAAGAGATTTGTGTGTAATATTTTAAATGTTTGAATGATTAAGTGACAAATTTTAGATGATCCGAGTGTAATTCTCCTTCTAAATTTATAATAAATTTTTTAAACCTTTGTTTTGGTGGAGGGTGAGTGGGAAATGTGAACATGTCGTTTCTTTCAGCTCCATCGTTGTTTTGGTTTTGAAAAGTGTCCATCCATTCATTTTTTGCCTTATTTAAAAGTCCCTTTGTAGCACATGGTGCAGTCCGACCACAACGATGCAGCCACGCAATAAGCACAAAGCGAACTATTCTTTTACTAAAGAATATCGTATGTTCGTTGCACATAGTGGCATACGTCAATTTTTGGAGGGATTGTTTTGAAATAGAAAAAACTCTTTAAAAAAAAAAAGTACGACCACAACATCTTGTTAAATAAAAAAAAATCGAAAACCCGCCTTTTCTCATTGTAAACATGTTTCTTCTTTTGAAAAATATTATTTAAATTTAAAATATTAATTTAATAAATCACAATCATTAAATAAATAATGAATCCTGATAAATACTGAGACAATTATTAAGACCCGTAGTTAAATTAATTACGGTAATTTATCAAGTCAATAAATTAAATTCATGTTACATTACTACTTAAAACCTTAATTAATTTATTTTATTGAACTAATAATATGACAGTTGATATAACTGTAATAAACAAGTCTAAAGATTACAATTAAAATATTATTATTGGAATATCCCAATCAATTATAGATCAACAAATTACTTAAAGATTTTCAGAGGAAAATAACATTATCACTCGAGAGATAGCGAATCACCAATGAGGCATAATCAAATCAATTGAACACCCACCTTTCACCAAAATCAAATATGCCAATTCTGTGTCCCCCCTTAATATTTTGGCAAAATTATACTTTTAACCCTCCAAGATTTTAAATTTTTTATTTTTGTCCGTTTAAAGATTTTTAATGTATCAAAAAAGAAATATTATGATCTTTCTATTAACTTTTCATTAATTTTTTCATCAATATCATTAAATTAACTATGAAAAAAATATATCAACTTTAAATAATGCAATGGGAAAAACTTAAAACTTTTGGAGGTATAAAATGCAAAAATTCCAAATTTGTTCTCCATCAATACACAGAATTACAATGCCAAGAACTTGCCAATTTTGAGTACAAAGTTAAAAGTAACACTAGACCGACTCTCTCTTCGGAGTAATGATAAATGGAGTTACGAACTACGCTCAATAATCTTAAGTATTAAATAAGTAATGGATTACAATGACTCACAATAAAATGACTCACAATAAAATTTCTGCATGTAATTATCAAATTTAATTTTTAAATTTATGGCCCGGCCATCACCATCACCATCACCATCGCCATCACCACGCCTCCTCGTCCTCTCCCTGCACCTCCTCGTCCTCCTCCTCGGGTTCTTCTTCACTGTCCTCTTGATCCATCCACTGCTCCGTGGGTGCGCACTCCACCTTGTGGCGTATCTTCCAATCAAGTGCCTGACACCCACGTGAGCAGTAGTTCACCTTCCCACAGCCCGTACACCTCCTAAACTCACCTATCCGGGCCTCTGGCCTTCCACAACCCGAAAAGGAGCACAGCCTCAGTCCATGACCCGGACCACCACCTCTCAACTCGAACCACCCCACCAAAAACCTATTCGCCGGGTGCACCTCACGCTCCGGCGAGGTACACCCAAAGTCGCTCCACAACCCACACCCAATTCCCTTCCGGGCATCCGAAGGAGATCCGATTACAAATCCGTTTCCCCGCTGGTTCAGAGACTGCCACGTCAGAGGGTTGAAAGAAAGTGGCCGGAAGGAGCGTAGACATCCGCGAGCTCGCGAGCGTTGGCTTGGACGAGGAGTCGACGTCCTTCGGCGACGTTTTGGCGCACGCCGTAACCGTCTTGGAGACAGTGCCCAAGCTCACGAAGGGCGTCGATGTGACCGAGGAAGGCGGCTCTGGCACAGAGCGCTGCGCCGGCTCGCTGTAACATCTCGGCTTTCGAGCCACCACTGCCGTTGAACTGAATCAAAGCCAAGGAGTACAGTGCCGGCGCGTGAGATTTAATCGCCGCCTTCGCCATGAGAGACCCTCCAGTCAGTCGGTCTTGTAGACAGTAAAATCGGATCTAAAACGATTAAATGATAAAATAATATCAGAAAAGAACTACTACCCATTATATATAACGCAGGTATGCATAGATCAACGACTATGTATGTCTGTGGATTACTGACCATGCCGAGAATATAAGAGGCTTCAGTGTTGCCGGCGTTAATGCACTGTCTCAAAAACCGATGGGCATGGTGGGACCAGTTCTTTGCTCTAACGGCGAGTGTTTCCGGACCGGCTTTGGAGAGGACCAGAGGGTGGAGACCCAAACGGTTTAGTCTTTTGCAACTGTTCCATGTAAATGAAAGATCAGTCCCCCAGAGGAAACCCAAAACATAAAACTGTATATATATATATAGACGTGTGTGGCAGTGTGTGTGTGTGTAGAGATAAATATAGGTATAATTATGTATTCATATATATACGTGATGAGAATATTGATGAAATCTGAAGGACAACGAGCGGTGGAACTGAGCTTGCAGAGGATGGAAATGACCATATCATCAGGTAACCCTTCAAAAAGATCGGATCTTGCATGGATATGCCTTAATCTTTTCCTCTGAACCATGCTTTCTTCTTCTTCCTCTTCTCTCTATTCCTCTTCCTCGTGTCTCTTTTTTCTCTTTCTAAATGCCTCTATAAACGGTTCTTATAAAGGACTCTCTCTCTCTCTCTCTTCTCCTTCTTTCTCTGTCTCACTCTTTCTAAATGCCACTGATTCTATGAACGGTTCCTATACAGGGTTCTTTCTTTCTCTTTGTATACCTATAAACAGTTCATATAGAGGAGTGCCCCTGGGGGAACAGAACCGTTTTCACGCACATACCCATAAGCCAGAACCTCCCTCTCTCTCTCTCTCTCTCTCTCTGTATATCACTGTCAATAAAAGCGAAATGGAAGAAGGGGACGGGAAGAAACTTGAATTTATGGAGTGGCGCAAGTGGCAAAGAGCCATAGGAGCCCCATGTATGTCTATTTCTAGTATTTATTTAATACTGCTAACTAGGAGAGGGTAAAATGGTAAATTTCTTGTGGTTACTAAGTCTGTAATCTGATTACGGTAATTTGCTGTTTTTGGTAGTATTAACGCAGGCAAACCAGCGGTGTAAGCTGGAGTTTGACCGTATCTGTCACTTCCTCGTCTGTTACTTTTATTTATTAATTTAATTTATTAAAATTATTAAATTAATTATGAATCTCAATTAATACATGTAGAGATATGTCATCATTCTAATAACAATAATTTATTCTATTATAATAAATAAATTAAAATAAAATTAGACATGATTAACGGGTAATATAGGCAAAAAAAAATATGTATTTGTATTTTTTTAATTTTTTAAAATATTAATATAAATAGGACACGTACCAAAAATAACACACCGCACACACGATTTACACCCCTACTAGGTAACATTGCTCCCTTCAACCTGACCCAGGTAGCCTTTCACTTTCACACCCAAGCCACAGGAACAAGAGCAAATTTGGTACTGCACCTATAGGTGAACAGTTGTTTTATCATACATTAAGCCCATGGTTCCACTTATGGTTGGATTGGAATTGCCACTCGTATTATTCTAAAATGATCTTGTGTTAACTATTGATTAATGTCTAACTTAACATCTAGAAAGAAAAATGGAGACTAGGGATTTGGTAATTATAGTTTAGGCTATGTTCTAGTGGAAATCGAATTTTTAATATCAATATGAGTGTAAGTTGGGTGCCTAAAACTAGGGATGGTAAATGAGCCAAACAAAGACAAATTCGTTTTTAAAAAAACACACGAGATCAAGTCAAGTCCAAATAACTCTGGTATTTCACATATATAAATGAGCCAAATTTTATAAGTTCGAATCAAACTTATTAAATTTTTTTTTAAATAAATTTAAAAAACTATTTGAAATCAGCTTGTTTTCTAAATAAATGAGCTCAAATTAAGTTGAAAACGAGGCGAATATGAGTAACTCATATCATCTCTATCTAAAACCCAATATTGTTAGAATTAAGATTATGTTGTGATATTTTTAGTTGAATTTAACTCAACTACTCCAATTGCACCGACAGAGCTATATAGGGCAAGGGGGGCCCTAGTCTACCGTTAATTTTTTAAAAATATATACATAAGTTTGCATACATATATTTTACGGATTATATAAATTTATTAGTTATTGTCTGTGCCTGAAGATACAGAATAATAAAAAATAGTAAATCATAAATATATATGTATTCAAATCCAAAATCAAATCATAAACATAGAAGAGAGATAAATGAATTTAAGTATTGGTTGTAGTGGGGGTGAGAGGTGGTAGGCGGCAGTGGTGGTAGTAGGAGACAGTGATAGTTATAGTATTTATGAAAAATAATTTTTAAAAGTAATTTTAAAAAATCACTCCAAACACACCATTAGAGGTCTATTTTTTCTATTAAATTTAAAATGTTAATATGAGTCGTTAGATTAATTTTAAAATAAATTTTAAAATTATCTAATTCGTGAATAATAAAAATAATTTTATTTATTTTTGAAATATAAATTTTATTATGTCACCACTATTTGTCTCTCGCCTGCTTCAATTGTTTAGTATTTTTTTATGACTTTTTGACAGCCTAAGCGCCCCACCCAAATGGAAATTTATGGCAATTCGCATTGATTCCGCCTAGATTGCACACTCCCTCTGTGACACACACGTTTGCCTTCAGCTCGTTATCTGCCAATACTTAATTATCAAATATCAACATTTATAACCGATTGTTTTTTGATTTCATTTTTCTTTATTGAGAGGGTTAAGAGTGTGTAAGTCAATTTATGTATAAACTCAGAATTCAGAATATTTGAATTTACAGTTCGTTCATCTTACCAGTATTTCATTTTTATAGCCTTACAACTAAGGATTCTCGGTCTATAACTAGGTGGAGTTGACTAGTGTATCGAATTTTTTTTTCAGTACCATATCTCTATTTACCATATTTATAAGCATTTTTATCACTGTAGCGATACTCAAAAAAATAATAAAAATAATTACCATAATAGTAATAAAAATATCTATAAATATGGTAAATCATCTAAAAAAATGATAATTTTTTTTGTACTAAAAAAAGTGATAAAAATAATTATTACAAATATAATAAAAATACCCACAACAACAATAAAAATACCAACAAAAATTACAACAACATCTATTACACTAATAAAATTGGGAAGCACGGTACTAAATTTTTTTTCTTTTGTATCGTGGTCAAAGTCCTAACCAGGTACAGTGAGCTCTGTGCGTGTGCGTGTGTGTGTGTGTGTGAGAGAGAGAGAGAGAGAGAGAGAGAGGCCACATTCTGAAACAACTATTGGCTGAGTGATTATTTGATTACTCTGTGTGAGGCTTAATTACAAGCACTAATGGCTTCCACATGCTTAGACAATAGAAATGGGGAAGCCCTTAAAAGAAGAGCAAAAAAGGTGGGGGCGTGAACAACTATTTAGTTGTATGAAATTATTGAAACAAAGCAACCTTAGAAAGGATTTACCAAAATGATCCAAACATCTAACAACAGGAAGAATTCTTGAATATTTATGGAAATCATTAATGGGCCATTTTTCTCCGGTTATTTTGTATCTCCTAAAACAAGTTGAGACGTTGTCTCTCTCTCTCTCTCTTTTTTTTTCTATTTCAAAAAAAGTGGAGATAAAGAAAAACGTCAGATATTATTTTGATAGGTTTTTACTGGTTGATCGCGCCTATTACTCCTCTCAAGAATAAACCTAATTAGACTAGTATAGCGGTTAATCACCGAGTTCTAATATAAATTTCAATACTCAAACTTCTAACCTTAGGATGAAAAGTACAATTGGTACCTCGTTAGACCGCTCCGAGCCGCTATGGGTTTTGATGCTTGTGTTGTACCTGCCGAGCCAATGATGAATCTAGGGGTGAGTAGGGCAATTGCAAACTGTATCCAGATCTCACGCATTATATTTTTATTAAATTTTGAACAATAATAAATTGTTAAAATAAATAGTAGATGATCTACTATTGAAAGAAAAATGATAAAAATGTAACTAAAGGTGATCTCAATCCATTACATCTATTACAAGAAATGCAAGCAAAAACGGCGTGTAATTGCCGATGTTTGATGAAAACGTCATTTTATCATGCGTTTGTCCTAATTACTAACTCCTCACTCCGAAACTATTTAAAAAAATTTTAAAGTCTGTAATTTTCTATTCTTTTGTTCCCTTAAGACCAAATTCTTGGATTCGTTGCTGTGCAGAGATAATGCCCAAATTGATAAAAGAGTAATTTATTATTGTGCATCCCAAATCAATAAAGACTATTAGATCAATGGTTCTCATTTTAAAAAGTTGATAGGACTCATTCATTCAATGATCTCTGTTCATTTTAAATGTAAATTTGGATTATAAATTTAGGTTCAATAATTTTTTCCTTAAAAAAAAGTTGTGAAGAACTATGCGTCTTGAATAGATTTGTTAATGGATCTGATGTTGATTAGAATTCAATTCGAATTTGAATTGGATATGATTAGCAAAATATTTATTCTTTGTGGTATATTTAGAGGATTTAAACTTTTGATATGTTAATATCCGATCCATTAATTAATATTCCATAAATTTAGGTAGTAATTCCCATGTAATATCTAAAAATAGTTCAATTGCGTTTTTTTTGGAGCAAATTATTAATTTTTAACCAAAGAGTAATACTATTTAAATCTAAAAATTTGACCTAATTTACTGATATAATGACATAGTTTTAATAGAACCATTGGATCAACACTAAGTTCCAATATTTGATGGACTCCACAATCAATCCAAAGGTCATAGTGAATTAAGTCAGCAAATTAGGTCATTAAATCTCAATAGCATTGCTCTTTTGAAGAGTGTTCAAATCAACTTACGTTCATCTCCATTAATACCCTTTCAAATCCAACTAAAGATAGATTATCTATGTAGAGATTAGAGTATTGATGAAGGACAAATCTCTTATAACTTGCTCGATTGATTTTAAGAAATTGTCAAAAATCAAACTTAAGACGTATAAATTTTTAAATTATTTTTATTATCATTTGAAATATCCTTTGATTGACTTTTTTTTTTTTTTTTGAACAAGATTTGTCGTTTATATCACGCAAAGTTATTTTTATAGAAGAGCATGCAATTTGCTACGTCATGCTGCATGAAAACAAACTCCAAATAGTCCAACTCCATGCACGAGAGAGATGGGAACGTGTATTTACTTTTTGTTGTCCTTTCTTTGTAATTTCCTTTATTTTATTTTAATTGTCAGGGGTCAACACGCATGTGAGTGCTTGCCTCATTGACCAAGCTATCAAGCATCACGAGTAATAGTTAGAAAATATTTAATGTAACGATTAAATTATCCTCACGTGGTATAACAATGGACAGAACTGAGTACGAAACAAACCCCCCCTCCTCTCACATTTTTGAAAAATTCTATAATCCTGCCCTACATTTTCAAAAAATCCTACATCTACCCTTGTGCTTTTAAAATTTTTTATACATAGGTATTATAAATAGTGTATTAAAAAAATTATTGATTTGAT